AATCTACCTCAAGATCCAGATATTCCACTCTTGAGCATATACTCAAATGATGCTTTATCCTAACGCAGAGATCCGTGCTTGACCCATGTTCATTGATATTTTAGCCATAACAGAAACTGAAAACAACCCATATGTCCCTCAACAGAAGAATGGTTAAAGAAAATATGGCAAATTCACAAATGGAGTATTAATGAGCCATAAAAAATAACAAACAAACAGACAGATGTTATGAAATTTGGAGGTCAATTGATGAAACTAGGAAAACTAATGAGTAGGTATCCCAGACCCAGGAAGACAAATATAGTATTTGCTTATAGGGAAAATTAGCTGTGAAGTCAATGATAACCAAACTACAATCCACAAAACCACAGAGGGTAGGTATACAATAAGGAACAAGTGGGAACAGATAGATGTCGTTAATAAAGAGAAATAAAAATAGATATATATGGATGCATTGGGGTTGGAATGGGAGGATCAAGTTGGGAGGGATAGATGGGGATTGTAGGAGGGAAAACTGGGAGAGACATCTATAATTAAGGGCCACTTGAGGGTAATATGGAAACCTAAAACTGTAGATCTAAATCAAATTTCTAAGTGATGGGGGAGACAGAATCCTAGTTGGCCATATCTTGTCTCCAAATGAGGCTTCAGGTATTGGGACTGGGTGATATCAAATTGAGTTGCTGGCTAGGAATCCCCAAACAACCCAAGACTGTAAGTTGTTGTTCTCTGTAAACAGACAACAGAGGCCCACTGCTGAAGACACCTACAGAACTCATTGAATGTGGGAATACTGAGCTGGTGCTTCACCCCAATGTTCCAGCTTCTTTTGTACAGGAAGGTACACTGCATGCTAACAAAAGACAAATAAACAAAACAGTCAAAAATCTGTTATCTGCAATGGTGGTGTACTGTTTGTGAGACATACTAGGGCTATGGTGGGACACTTGTGGGAGTAATGTGAATGCCCACTCCATGAGATAGAACGCATACCCTGACACTGGGTGACCACTAACTTGAGGCTAGATAGCCCAGAGACCTAGGGTAAAACCAAATAATACTAGTTTAAGAAAAAAAAAATGTAGTGATAAAATATCTCCAAATGATATTCTCTGTTCTCATAGATCAGTGCTTTATTCAGCCATCTTCAGAGAAGCTTCTGCAGCAGATGGAAACAGAGACCCACAGTGCAGTCGGAGACCCTGGAACACCCAACCCTACTGATGTCTCTATCAAATCCCTTTTGAGTTGATCAAACCCTGAAGAAGTGTGTTAGGAGCAGAGGGGATGGAGGACACCAAAGAAACAAGGCCCTCTTCTCAACACGAACTTGTATGAACTTGAGACTGAAGCAGCATTCATAAAGCCTGCATGGGTCTGCATTAGGATCCTCTGCATATGACTTCAAGTTTAGTGTTTTTATGAAATTCATGAGCGCAAACAAGTGGGTCTCTCACTTTTGGGCTCTTTTCCTTCTCGTTTGTCTTGCCCACTTTCAATGTGATAGTTTCTATTTTGTCGTACACTTTAAAGATAAAAAAATAAAAATAAAAACCTAACGTAGAATAAAAGTTAACAACTGAATTGGTGTTTATACCTGCCGGGAGAGGGAATGTCAGTTTTCTCCAATGGAACGACACTGGGTATATATAGAAACAATCCAGGAAATGTCTCATGTTCAGAAGCATTGATCAACACATAATGGCCCCAGGTTTTATTTTTACTTTTTTGTGTGTGTGCGTGCATGCATGCATGCATATGTGCTTTTATTTAGTTACAGGTTTGTTTGTTTTTCTCCCTTTTGGGGTGGTGTTTAATTTTGTTTTGTTTTTAGTTTTGTTGTGGTGTTGGGTGTTTTTTTAAGAACTTTAGTTTGGTGTATAGGGAAGAAGAGAGCATCTGAAGGACTTGAGAGTATGATCAAAATATATTTAAATTTAAAAGTTTTAAATAAGAAAAATATAAAAGAGAATCAAGTAATTAAAACCATCCACATTAAACTCAGCCTGAGTTCAATATCCACTTATTTGAATTTTTAATAATTAAGTCCAAGTCTTCAGTTTCCTTAGCTTTTAAAATGCGGTTAATAGCTAGAGCAATAAGACAAGTAAAGGAGATCAAGAGTATACAAATGAGAAAGGAAAAAGTCAAAGTATCACTATTTGCAGATGATATGATAGTATACGCGAGCGACCCCAAAAACTCAACCAGAGAACTCCTTCAGCTGATTAACACCTTCAGCAAAGTGGCTGGATACAAAATTAACTAAAAAAAAAAAAAAATCAGAAGCCCTCCTGTATACCAAGGACGAAAGGACTGAGAAAGAAATTTGGGAAACAAGACCTTTCACAATAGCCACTAATAACATAAAGTACCTTGGTATGACTCTAACCAAGCAAGTGAAAGACCTGTTCGAAAAAAAACTTCAAGTCTCTGAAGAAAGAAATTGAAGAAGATACCAGAAATGGAAAGATCTCCCGTGCTCATGGATTGGTAGGATTAACATAGTGAAAATGGCTATCCTGCCTAAGGCAATCTACAGACTCAATGCAATTCCCATCAAATTATCAACACAATTCTTTACAGACCCTGAAACAAAAATTCTCAACTTCATATGGAACAACAAAAAACCCAGAATTGCCAAAACAATCCTGTACAACTGATCGTCTGGAAGTATCTCCATCCCTGATCTCAAGCTGTACTACAGAGCAATAGTAATAAAAACTGCATGGTATTGGCATAGAAACAGAAAGGAGGATCCCTGGAACTGAATAGAAGACCCAGAAATAAACCCACACATCTACAGATACTTGATTTTTGACAAAGAAGCCAAAACCATTCAATGGAAAAAAAGACAAAATCTTCAACAAATGGTGCTGGACCAACTGGATGTCTACATGCAGAAAAATGAAAATAGATCCATACTTATTACCCTGCACAAAACTACAGTCCAAGTGGATCAAAGACCTCAATATAAAACCAGACACACTAAACCTGTTAGAAGAAAAAGTAAGGAAGAGCGTAGAACTCATTGATTGGCACAGGAGACAACTTCCTGAACAGAACACCAACAGCACAGGCTCTATCTAAGAGCAAAAATCAATAAATGAGACCTCATGAAAGTGAAAAACTTCTTTAAAGCAAAGGACACTGTCGTCAGAACAAAATGCCAGTCTACAGACTGGGAAAGGATCTTCACCAACCCTATATCTGACAGACGTCTAATATCTAGAATACATAAAGAACTCAAGAAGTTCAAAAGCAACAAATCAAGTAATCCAATTAAAAAATGGAAAACAGAGCTAAACAGAGAATTCTCTGTAGAGGAATATAGAATGGTAGAGAAACAAAGAAATGCTCAACATCCTTAGTCATCAGGGAGATGCAAATCAAAACGACCCGGAGATTTCACCTTACACCCATCAGAATGGCTAAGATCAAGTGACAACACATGCTGTAGAGGATGTGGAGAAAGGGGAACCCTCCTCCATTGCTGGTGGGAATGTAAACTTGCACAACCACTTTGGAAATCAGTCACTTTCTCAGACAATTAGGAATACTGATACCTCAAGATCCAGCTATACCACTCCTAGGCATATATCCAAAATATGATCAAGTACACAAGAATATTTGCTCAACCATGTTCGTAGCAGCTTTATTTGTAATAGCCAGAACCTGGAAGCAGAAAGACAAACGGGATGGACATTGGAAGAAGAAAACAGGAAACAGGACAGGACTCTACAGCAGAGGACCTCAGAAAGACTCTACCCAAAAGTGCATCAAAGCAGATACTCGAGACTCACAACCAAACTTTGGGCAGAGTGCAAGGAATCCTATGAAAGGGGGAAATAGTGGGACATGGAGAGGACAGGAGCTCCACAAGGAGAGAGAAAAAAAAAAATCTGGGCACAGGGATCTTTTCTGAGACTGATACTCCAACCAAGGACCATTGATGGATATAACCTAGTACCCCTGCTCAGATGTAGCCCACGGCAGCTCGGTATCCAAATGGGTTCCCTAGTTAGGGAAACAGGGACTGTCTCTGACATGAACTCAGTGACAGGCTCTTTGATTTCCACCCCCGCCCCCCGGCCATGAGGGGAAGCAGCCTTGCCAGGCCACAGAGGAGGACAATGCAGCCAGTCCTGATGAGACCTGATAGGCTAGGGTCAGATGGAAGAGGAGGAGGACCTTCTCTATCAGTGGACTTGAAGAGGGGAATGGGAAGAGATGAGGGAGGAAGGGTGGGATTGGCAGGGAGAGAGGGAGGGGGTTACCGGTGGGATACATAGTGAATAAACTGTAATTAATATAAAAAATAAAAATTTAATTAAAAAAATAAAATGAGGTTGTCATGTATCCCAAATTCAGGTTCAGTATGTTCAGTCCTGTATAATTTATATGCTTACATTAAAATCAAAACTATCTCACTGAATTAGTCTCTGATGTGATGACATACACACTTTTGTAAAAACATGGTATTAGGCTATAAGTTTACTTGCAGAGTCACCACTGAAATCTTGTCTGTAGGGCCATCTGTGCCCAAAAACTGAGATACATATTGGGAAATTTCTAAATGCTCACTTACTATTCCCCAACCTAAGTAGCACTCAAAGCCCCAAGTTTAAAGTCATTGATTATGTTGTTACCAGGACAATGAAAAACTCCAAAAAAATAATTTAAAAAGTTAATTTACTGTTTCCGTATCAGCCAAGAACAGAAACCCAGAGCTTTCTATTTTGTTCATTTAACAAAGGCTTGAATATTCTTCCCAACAGTCCTTTGATTAATTTTGAGTTTGAAGTCAACAAGTGTGAGCCTACCTACATACACACACTCACACACACACACTCCCAGCCTTATTAAAGGGGCAGAGAGTCTCATTTTCAAATGTATAAATATAAAGGAATTCAAGAGATTCTTTAAATCCTAACACTTTCAGTCCCTATATACTGGCTAAAAAGTCCCATATGGATTCCCAGCATTAAATAAATGACACATTTCAAGTTTCAGAGATTTATTCATCAGTGTAATAACTCCAAAAAAATCAACATGATTTCATGCATTAAGAGGAGAGTATTTCCTGGTTAAGTGGAAAATTGTGCGGATGGCTTCAGGAAAACCTTCATTGTAAGCAGCTTTATGGTGAACTTCATAGTTTAGAAGTCGGGGCCTTCTTTCTTCAGTTTGCTGTAGTCAACATTCACTGAATAGAACTTAGAAATAAAAAATTATATTTTAGATTACCAGAACCAGATATAGTATAGAAATTTTAGAATTTGATGCCTCAATTTCCTCAAGTAAAAATTTAGAAATGAAAATTTTAATAATATTTAATGATGTAAACTTAATTCACAAGAAAATACTTCATCTAAAATTGCAGTGTTTTGAGATGGTTTGGGGGAAGTAAATAAAGCATCCAATCTGTAGCTTAAGTATACTCTACTAGTTAGACTTACAGAGAAATTCTATTGCAAAGTGAGTAGTTATTAATTTCTTCTGAAGCATAGTTCTAAGTTTTTCGTTCACCTCCATTACACATATAGGAAAATCTCTAATAGAATGTAAGTATACAGAATTGTCACCTTAGTTGAAGAGCTGCACGTATGATGTGTAAGAACTTTAATCAAAAACATGGCAGGCTAGTAATACAGTGACTCTGTATTGTGACTCTGCAACTCTTCAGCTGCACACTGTCTTTTTCTTAGAGATTTTTCTAAACTCTGCCAGTCCCTTTTGTTGATAGCTTTTAAGTAATATGACACTTTTCCAAATATGTCCTTACAGTCAATTAAAATTCAGTTTATAAATAAATTTTACTGTGATAGTGCTAAATAATGTCTAAGTGCTAGTGAGTTTTTTTTTTTTTTTTCTTTTCTTTTCTTAATGATATTTTGAATCTAGTCTGGAACTTCTACTGGAAAAAACTAATTATCATCTTAATTTTTGCGCTAAAAAATTGAGGCGATAATGCTGTAAATCCTTAAAGATTACATGATTTATCTATAAAAGAATCCTCAGCATTTTCTCTAGAGTTTGTGTGCTGGTTTGAATAAGAATAATCGACATAGGCTACTATATCTGAATGCTTAATTACCAAGGAGTATAACTGATAGGATTAGAGGATTAGGTGTGGCCTTGTTGGAAGGAGTCACTGGGGGTGGGCTTTGGGATTTTAAAAGCCATGCCAGGCCCAGCTCTCTCTCTCTCTCTGAAGATCAGGATGTAGCTCCCATATGTATTCTCCTGCACCATGCCTGCCTGCGGCCATGCTCCCTACTAAGATGTTCATGGACTAAGCGTCCAAAACTGTAAGCAAGCCCCCAGTTAAGTGCTCTTCCTCATCTGAATTATCTTGTTCATGGTGTCTCCTCGCAGCACTGAAACAGTGCCCAAGACAGTTTATACTGAGGGACAATTTCACAGCCGGTATCAAAGCCGGAAAGCACAGCAGTGGCTTAGCCTATGTGAGGGAGGCCCTGTCTTCCTGCCTTTCCACTGTGAAAAAATATATAAACAGATTTCTTCAGACCGCCTTTCCTTCAAACACTCACTTCCTTATTGTATGCAGCCAGATCTCATACAATACAGCCTAGGATGGCCTCCGAGGTGTGTCTGAAGATGAGTTTAGGTTTTCCTGTCTCTTCCTCCTGAGTACTGAAGTGAAGGCAGAAGCCACCACACTCAGTTTTAAGAGTTCTGGGAATGTGCTAAGCTAGTACTTCCCCAGCTGAACCACCTCAGTCCCTTACTTGACTGTTTAACAAAGAAAAATCTCCAAATTATAACGCATATTATTACCATGTCATCCTTAGGTATACACAGACCTATGGTTTCTTGGACATAAAACTGTAAGTAAACCAGCAATATTCTTTGCTGACTGTCTTAAGAATCAGTTTACCTAGACAACAGAACAAGTTATGCTAGTCTCTAACATGTTCACATAATTAGGATATTTACAGATGAATATGAAGGTATAATTATATCATAAAGAAAATAAACATCTAATAGATGCCAACAATATCTAGATGCTGTTGATCTTACTTAATCATCACAATTCTTTGCATTGTCACTGCTTTATAAAAAATCCAACTGAAGATCAAATTGTAACTCACTTAAAACAAAATAATCTAAAAGGCTAGAGAGCTAACTTAATGGTTGAAAGTGTGTACGGCTCTATCTGAGGGCCCAGAATACAGTTCCTGGTACCCATGTGGGGTGGCTCACAACCACCTTGGTAACTCCAGCTCAAGAGATTGACACCTGTTGTCTCAACAGGCACCTGCACTTAGGTGCACCAACACACAATACATGTAACCCCAACCAATAAAATACATCTTTAAAAACAAAACCACATCGAGGTGTGGTGGGTGCTGACAGTGTATGACTTAAATCCAGCATTTGTGAGGCAGAGGATCTCTAAGTTCAAGATCTGCCTGATCTACATATCAAGTTCTAAGACAGACATGGCTACATTCTTAAACCAACTGTTTTGTCAGTGATGCACGCCTTTAATTCTGGCAGTCTGGAAGCAAAAGAAGCAGGCAGGTATCTGAATTATTCAAGGCCAGTCTAGTCAACACACTGAGTTCTAGCATTATATAGAGACCTTGTCTCAACAATCCTCCCTCCCTGACCCCCCGCCTCAAAAGCTGACAGGCTTTTGATGTATTTGCTTTGTACCTAAAATTCTCTTTGGAAGTAATTTTTTTTTTCCACTTCCATGTTTCTACTGTTTTTCTAAACAGTGGTTACCCTGAAAGCATCCTTGGCTGCTCTGATTAATCCTGGTTTTGAAGCATCTCTTCCATTTGCCCAATCTCTTGTTATATGAACTTGCTTTAGGGAACCAATAATTCCTTTTATGAAGCAAATATTCATGTCCTCCTGAAATTTCTACTGAAATTGTAGTTCCCATTGGGATGATACTTAGAAACTGAGCATTCGAAAGGTAATTAGGTTATGAGGACAGAGCCTTCACAATTAGACTATTTTCTTTATAAAAGAAAAACAAGAGTGTCTACGTTTTTCCTCTTGTTGAATGCATTTGGGAAGAGTATCTTCTTCAGGAACAGAACTGACTGACTACCACCTTGGTCTCAACACTTCCCAGTTCCAATAACTGAGATAACTTTCTGTTCCCTAAACTTACCTTTGATTTTTTTTTTATCATAGGCACCTCAAATCTTATTGTCTTAACACAATAAACTCTTATTTTTTATTCACACTGCTGTTTCTAAATCAATTACTTTGCACTCATTTCATTCCAATCTTAAGTCTAATGATATGCCACTTTGGTTCTGAGAGAAATGAAAAGAATAATGGATCAAAAACAAAATAGTTGAAAAGTGGTAAACATCGTCCTCTTGTCTCATCGTTTGCCACAGAAAGCAATACGGCTAAATCTGAGGTATGTGGGCCAGAGAAATAAAATTCTTTGAGGTGAAGACAGAAGTCTTGTCACAGAACAGCCAAGGCTCCCCAGAGAAATCCTGTCCTCAAAAACTTTTCTGAGGTGATGGAAGAATTAACTATGGAGACAATAACCTATCTTACCTAATTAGTTGGGTGTAGAAGTAAAAATAAGTAGATGTCATTTATTCCAGGCTTACAAATCTAGATTTAGTTCTCTTCACCACTCTCAGCAACATTCTTCAGTATCTACCCTCTACTAGCTACAGGTACTCAAGGATCAGGCTATGCTTTAAACATTAGGTTCTGATTTTTGTTTCATTTTGTTTTTCTGTATATCCCTGGCTGTCTTGGAGCTCACTTGGTTCAAGACCAGGCAGCCTTGAACTCAGGAGAACTTCCTGCCTCTTCAGGTACTAGGATTAGAGGTGTGCCACCACCGCCCTACTCTAACAATAGAGTTTTAATGCAGCAGCATTCTATTTCCAGTTCACAGGGCCTAACTTCAGCTCAGTGTCATCATATTCCAAACACTAGTAACTGGCACAACTATTGGAATCATCTGGTGCATTTCTGAAAAACAAGTATACAATACTCCATTAAGTTCTTTGGTCAAACAATCAAATTCTAGTTCTTTTTCTCTTTAACATTTCTTAGATGTAGATACATTCCCCCAATTTCACCTTCCTGAATAACTGGTACTTAAATTCCTAAAACAAAATTACAAATGCAAATGCCTGTATTTTTCAGATGGCCTGTTTCAGCTTGGCTAATGATTTTTCAGTTGTATCTTTAAAGGACAGCAGTTTAAGTACTTACAAACCAAATCATAGTTGGGTTAAACAGGAAGCTTAAAGTAAATAAAGAATAATTTTAAAAGTTGCTATGAACAGTATTAAAACACCTATCTCGACCACAGACTCTTTCCACAAGTCTTAGTCAATGAAGACTCACTGTGACTCTTCTTCAGTGCTAAAGCAAACTTCTGGTTACATAGAAACAACTTGAATGTGATAGAAAACATATGGAAGAATTACATTTTAAACAGATAAATTGTACGACATGAAAATTATACCCAAATACAGCAATATCCTTGACACTATGAAGGTTTGCATGTGAAAATATTACACATAAGAAAGGTTGTTTGGTGAAATCAAACAACCTTGGTATATGAACAAATTCAAAGAGTAGCTATATAGAATGCTCTTCCAGGAATGTTCAAGTGTATCTATGAGTGTTAGCTCATGGCTAAATCAATTTTCATGCCTCCCTATTAATCCTCACCTAAAATATTTGAACCATACAAAGAAAAATTAGCCAACCAAACCACCCAAGGGACCAGAGCTGCCCATACTTCAACAGCAACAGCAGTGGCAGCTGAAGCATTATGAAATGCAAACCCTTATTCCCAGATAAGTAAAGAGACAGGGGCTCTTCAAAATGCCTTATAACGATAATGGCATCTTACCTGCATGTGCCATTTCAAGAAAAACTACCACATAGCCACGTTTCTTATAAAATATGCTTTCCTAAGACTTTTAACAATTTTGTACTTTACCTTGTATTGATCATTGGGACCCAGTTTGTTCCAAGGCTCTGGGTTATTCTTCCTGTCCCAGCTAAAATGAATAAATTATAATTGTTATAGTAAGACACTACTTAAAAGAGGGTTTTAAAAATATTTCCTTAGAAGCTAGTCTTTTGAATAGATCAATCTCATTTCCTATACTATGGCATTATTTTCATTAAAGAGTTAAGCAGAACTAGAATTCATAGTTAAACAAGTATGCACCTGGTAAAAATCACAGAACACAGACTTTTGGTATATCTATTTTCATCCTGTCTTTATAACAGAAATGGTTGTATTTGTATTAAATCTATTTTACCATGCAGATAATACATGAAAGTGTAAAGAATACTCAACCAATCATTTTCCAGCTGCAAAAGGAATCAGTTTATTGAGGAAAAGTTGGTAGAACATTTGCATACAACAGGAATCGTGATTAAGTATTTCATTAAAAAGCAATTATTGTGGTGGTGCACAATTTTAATTTCAGTACTAGAGAGGCCAGACTGGTTTACAGAGTAAGTTCCAGGGAAGCCTGGAAAAACAAAACACAGCAGCAACAACAGCACCCAAACAAAAAGCCCCTGTAATTATCCCAGCCTTCAAAATGCAAGACTTGGTATTAGCAACTCTTACCCATAGGAAACTAAAAGTCAGTGAAATTAGATAAGCTCATGAAGCAGGAAAAGTATACGTGAGCTGCAGAAGCAGCCTTGGGGCTGACTGCATGGCTACAAAACTGTAGTTGTTTCTTCTCTGTGACTTCTCCCAAGACTGTGGTCTCCAGCCCAGCCTCTCAACCATCCAAGTGTTACGCATTTTTACACTCACCAGACATCTGGATTGAACATTGCTAAGCGCAACACATACAGTGCTGCTCCAGTGCCTCCTGCTCCAATAAATATGAAGAGAGGGATCAACTAGAACCAAACAGAGAAAAAATAGTAGCCATTATCACATTCCTTGAACCTGTCCAAACTAAGGCTGCATTGGTTTCTACAGGTCCACTACTTTGCTAACTTGCTCCAAAATGTGAATAAAGGTTGAGCTTAGATGGAAGCAATGTTTCTTTTAATTGTATTCTAAAGACATGATCTGTGCAAAAAAAACATGTTAAGTGGGTTTAAGTGTCTGATTTATTTCTAAGGAGTAAATTATATGGGAAAATAATCCTATAAGTACATTCACCTCTATAACATGAGAACAAGAGGCGGAGGGGAATCCCTTCGAAATCTACTCAACAGTGGCTCTGAAAAGTTCTGTGAACATAACCTTTGTGAAATAAAGAGCATTATTAGCTATCACAAGCACTAGTTTTAGGAATGAACTATGAAAACAGATTGCTATTAATTTTGCTGTGCATTTAGGAAACTAGGTTTAAGGCAAAGACTAAGGACTGTCACAGGGAGTGTTAGGTCCACAGCTCACTACTCTATTGGGCTACACTGGAGGAAAACGAGATGGCAGGAAAACTAAAAGATAAATTTTGGAAATGCCAAGGTTTCCAAGCAAGGTGAGGATTACAAGATTTACATCCCTCGTATTTCAGAAGGCTTGGTGGTGCAATGCAGTGACTATAAAAGCCTCAAAAGCGCCTAACAAACCTGACCTCTCTTGGGATTCTATCCACTCAGAGTACCCTCCACTCCTCTTCGGACCAACCAATCTGAGAGCGTGGCCACAGCGTTCAAACTCCCAGAATGTTTACCTTTCTCGCCGAAGCCTGCCTCCTTCTGCTTCACGCAAAACCCCGCAGTGGAAAGGAACGTTCACAAATAAAAAAGCTTCCAGCAACCAGGTCAACCCAACCGCAGACGGACTGTAACCCCAAAGAACAGCGAAAACAGAGCATCCCCAGGGGACAGAGGCAGGCGCAACCACAACTAAGAGGCCTAGAAAAGATCATCAACTTACGCTGGGATGCTTCCTGGCTTGCCCGATAATCTGGCGGAGCATGTCTGCGGCAGAGGCCTACGTCCACAGAGACAGGAAAACAGCAGGACACACGCTGGCCCGCTTCTGCAACCCGGCTGAGCGGACGTCCAAAGTCATCCAGGACCTCCTACCTGAAGGACCCCTGGCTCCGAGGGCACCCTGCAGCAGGAAAGCCCGGCTGCGGCTGTCCTCTGCCGTGCCTGAGTGGGTGGCCAGCCCTCTCGCGTTCGTCCTACCCACACACTTCCACTGTGAAGCTCAGCATCCTTCATTCCTCCACGGTGCATCTCTCTGATGGGTATATTTCTGCGTTGACACGAGGACGTCTCGGCTGAGCCGACAGGCACTTTCCAGGACGACACGCGTCAGCGCCGGGTCAGCCCGCGGCCGTCTGGGAGCGCTCTCCGCGGGCGCGGCTCCTCAGCGGCGCCTCCCGCCTGGGCCGCGCGCTGACGCGCTCCGGGGCGCGCGTGCCGGGCGCGCGCCGAGCCGCCCCGCGGTCCCCCGAGGCTGCCGCGCGGCGCCTCTGCAGGCTCAGCGCCCAGCTCCCCCAGGTCGGGTCGTGTCTCCAGCCGCCGAGGTCAGCTGCTGCGGTTTGAGACTGCAGCTGCTTCCTGGCTTTCACTGGCGCTTAGGGACAGGAGTTGAAAAGCTAGTAAGTGACTTACAGATGGCCATAGTTTCCTCGGTGTGATTCACCAGATTCTTAGGTCGTGGGCACGCTTGAAGATTGTCGGCCCAAAGAACTTTTGCAACACGTCACTATCCATCCCCGGTCCAGATATTGCATCCTTAAAAGTTCATTCATTGGTTGTTTTTCTGCATTTAACGTTTTCTACTACCCTACTTCAATTTTCATTTATCTTTCTAAATTCTTTTGCCCGAAAGTCCTCCTTGGGACGAGTTTAATGGGCAGTTTGAAATCACAACCAACAATCTGAACCCTTTCCAACTGCCTAGGTATCTTAAAGCTTTTCAAATAGTAAGAGTAAAAAGAGGAGACGTCTTTACCGAAACTGCTAAACTGAACAAGTAGACATTAGCCAAGAGGAAGCCTCATGTGGAGGTGTGTAAGCAAGACAATTCATGTGAAGACCTGAACCACACAACCGCTAAGGTTCTGAACTCTGTTACAAACAGGAAGGCACTTAAAAGGGAAGGCAAAGCAGGGCCCACATCCCAGCCAGGGACCACTTACACAGACTTTAGGAAGCTCACCAAGAAGAGTCTGTGGTTGAAAAGAATTCCTTCGGCTGTGAAGAATGGAATGGAGAAAGGGCTATTGCACTAGTTCATATGAAAGAATTTTAAGTTGTCCTAAGGTAGGGACTGTAATCATTGGGGGGAAAAAGGTTATCACTAAAAAGGACCATAGAAAAGTATGCGGTAGCAAAAGGCCTGATGATTAGACAGATATGGGTGAACAAGGAAAAAAGTTAAGAATAATATGGTGACCAGCTGTGAAATGCCATGCCAGTTGCTGAAATAATCGATACATGGCTATATAAAGTTCATTGAATTTCCAGAGAGCAGAATACATATCAAGATTAGAAAATAAATGCAGGAGTCATTTTATTAATGGGAAAGGAGTTGTAAGACTAAAGTAGATTAGGGGATGGAGTGAAAAAAGATGCAGAGTGTCAAACTGAGGAATTCCAGCATGAAATATGTTTATTGGATAAAGCCAGCAAGGAGGGAAATGTGGTTAATATATGGTGAAGGTTATGAATGTTAGGTCTGACATGGTTTGTTTGTTTTCTTTTCCCCCCATTCTTTCTTTGTTTTTTTTTTTTTTTTTTCATTAATTCACAAAATGTTTGCTAAGTAACTACTCTATACCAGGTAGGTCTTGTTGCTTTTGCTTTTGTTTTTGTTTTGGCTGGCCTCTCAAGATCCTCCTGCCCCAGTCTTCTAAGAGCTGTCATTACAGACATATGCCTCCATGAACACCATTCAGCTTGTAGGAGTTTAGCATTGAAGAAGAAAATACTGTGATAAAACAGACCTACCATGTCAGCTAATAAAGACAAGTAATATACAGATAAGATAACTTTAGATGGTTATAGATGTGCCAATAAAATAAATAACAGTAAAAATGACATGAGAGAGGTAGAAGAGAGATACTTACTTTAGCAAGAGTGGGCAAGGAAAGATTTCTTTGAGGATATGTGACTTGAAACCTAAATTAAGGGCAATCTGTTGAAAGATCTAGGGAAGAACATTCTAGTTAAATGAAATTAACAAGAGATTATATCCAACAGCAACAAAAGAAGTACTCAAAGGAAGCATAAGTGGCTGGTCCAGACACAAGAAAGGAGAAGAAAAAAGTGAGATCACTGAGGGAGTAGCAATCTGGTAATACTTTACATACTACAGTAAAGAATATGATTATGTTAAAAATCTGTACAGAAAGTACTCAGAGGTAAACAAGGGAACTAACGGTAGTGAGTTTAGCCAGGCTGGTAGCAAAGAAATTATAAGATGAGAGGCCCGCTTTACTGAATATTATCATTTGGAACAATAAATATTGGTAAGTATATATACAGGAATGCCACAATTCAAAAGAAAGTAAAGTCTAGAAGTTTATTTTTATTATTATTATTATTATTTTAAAGATCATTGGCCTAGTTCCTAGACATAACGACAATATGGCCAGCCAGGTGAGGCCTCCTTTTTAAATATGAAGAAGGCAGAATTATAAATTTGACTAAACTGTAACCAACAGGTCAAACTGTCAAAGCTTACATTTTGCATATTAAAGTTAAGAGGAATAAATATATGAGCTGTATTTCAAGTAGGGCTGGATAGAGTAGAGGTGACAGTTTAAGAAAGCCATGGTAGAGGAGGCATTGCAAGCACAGCGTGAGTTTCAGAAGTAGGGATTTTGTGTGTGGTAGATTATATCATTTACAAATTCCTCTTGCTTGTCCTGAGAGAGAGAGGTCATTTCATTGCCTCACTAACATCAGGTTTGATAAGGTGAATTTCTTTAGTAGTAAATGAAATGTGAGAACTCCCACAGGCCACACATAATTGTTGGCTCCTATGTGTCTGTTCTCTCTTTTTTTCCTTCATAATGACATCAGAGTATATTCTAGACAGTGGCTGCTTTACCAGTTGGATGTGAAAACGAAAGCCATTTGGAAAGACTTGTTGCTTACCTATGCTTTGAAAGTAGGAAAGAAAGCTTTATTGTCTCAAGTCGAAGTAATTGTGATTACAGCATAGTCTGTCTCAAAAGAATTACAGGTTTGGCCAATGATGAGATAACAGCGTAGTCTGTCTCAAAAGAATTACAGGTTTGGCCAAATAGAAGAGAAGTGGATTACATACAGCTAAAAGGACTCTTAGCTGTTGGTTTTAAAAACTGTGACAGCTTGAGATGTGAATTGATAATATTTTTTTTCCAAACTTGTGGAGGAAGAATCAGAAAGATCAGTGCTTATGAGCTGTTTACATGGATTTAAACCAAGAGTGGAGGAAGAGTGCTGATAAGATCAGAGCCTACTTAAAGACTATTCCCTATCTTAACTTTGCAGTAACTTATACCCAAAGACATTTCAATACTTAAAGACATTCCCATACCTATATACAATTCTTTTCACTATAGTTATCCAGTCTCCAGTCTTGGCTCTACTATAGGTGTGTGTGTGTGTGTGTGTGTGTGTGTGTGTGTGTGTGTGTGTGTG